CATGCTCCTATTGGTCCTGCTAGTCGGAAAGCAGACTCTATAACCAAATTGATATCAAATCCAATTTTTACTGTCGTTTACGTATAAGTTGAATGACCCTACAATAAATGCCATTAATATCACTCAATATTATTACCATTTTTTGTTAATTATTATTAATACCATGTTTATGAACTGTATTATATTATAGGCTTTATAAAAAATTAAAAATGTAATACTTCCTAATTCCTACTTAAAACTTATTTTAAATATCAATAATTAATTATGATCTACCATAATAAAAAATCAAAAAAGATTAAGTTGTAACCACCTTAAATGAATTAATGTGTTATTTGGCGTCATTGTTTATAATATGTAATATTATTATTATTACCATGGTAACATAATTTAATTAAATTTGTTCAATTAACCACAAATTATTGGGAGTGTTGAAATTCAAAATGTGTATATGTTGAGTGAACATCATTATAATAATTAAATTTGTTTAATTATCCACAAATTATTGCAAATGTTTAAATTTAAAAATCTGTATGTGTTGAGCAAACATCACTATAATAATTAAATTTGTTCAATTAACCTGAAATTATTGTGAGTGTTGAAATTAAAAATCTGTATGTGTTGAGTGAACATCATTATAATAATTAAATTTGTTGACTTAACCACAAATTATTGCAAATGTTTAAATTTAAAAATCTGCATGGGTTGAGCTTACAAACTTTAGTTGAAATATATCAAATTAAATAACCAATTACATTATTTTAATTTGTCATTTTGTTTTGCTTTAATAGTTAGCTTTTAATTGATTCTGTAGCAATATGGTGAAATGTATACTAAGTGGAAGACATACTGATCATGGTAGAGACATTGAAAGTCAATAAATCTTAATCAAAAACTGACGACTGGTAATGGCCATAAGGCAGTACTGTTACAGCTAATACTCTTCCATTTACTCAACAATTTGTTGCCAAGGTAAAATTTTCTGATATCCTACAAAATCCATCAGATAAGGATTAAAGATATTTTAGGAAGCTGAGTGAAATAGGTTAAATCTTTTACTAGCAACGCTTAGTGGATACACTACATTCCTCTTTCTTATTTCTTTCCTCTTATTTTTTTTGAACTACTTTTAACTATTTCAATTTTGAAAACATATATAATTAGCATTTTTGTTGTAAAGAATGACAAGTAAACAAATAAACAAACAAAACAAATAAATAAATAACCAGCCAGGAACCTATGTTTGATAATTTTGTGATATACTGTACACTAGTTAATTAGTCTAAACAACTTCAACGAAGCAAATACAGTATTTTAAAGAATTCTGATTTATTAATCTGTAGATAAGTTAAATCTTGCAAACAACTTTTAAAGTTCAACAGATTTCCATGATAATTTACTTTAAATCGTCAATCTTTGAACCAGTTGTTAATATTGTTAGAAAATAAATAAATAATTTGTTTTTCAGATGACATGACACACAAGTTTCTAATTGCCATTATGAAGTTGGAGGGTCATAACATTGACAATGTTGTTTTTGGTTTATGACAATCATCCAAAATGAAAGTTTGCTTAAAACAAGGTATAAAAAGTCTCGTCTAGTGTATAAATGGGGAGAGTGCAATTTTGCATTTTAACGCACGGATAACCAAACTGTAACTATGAATATGATCCAACAACCGGGATAATAATAATGTAAAACGCAGAGAACATTTGGCAATATGCGATATGAAAGACCAACATGTTATTACGAAAGCAATGAATCATCATCTGTCATATGCACATAAATCAAATAAATTTCATCAGCTACATTTAAAGCCTGTCCAGACTATTCAAATTGTCTATGATATGCCTATATATGGTCATGATGTGCCTATGTATGGTCATGATGACATCATCGCTATATTTAGGCATACATTTTTGACAGTCTGGACAGGGCTTAATAAATGTCTCTGAAATATGTCATTAAATACTTGATTAAGTGACAGATGTTCAAATGATGAATACAAACATTTATTTTTTCAGTTAAATGTACGACAACGGTAAAATTAAAGTTTCTAATTTGGGGCATGTTTTTGAGGAAATTGGTCAGGCTCCGGAGGGAAAAATTTTTTTTATATGTTGTATAACTGATTTTTCTAAGACAGAAAAAAGTAGTTTGATCAAAAACTGAGCTACGGTAAATGAGATACAGATTTTTGAATATTTAAAAACTGGGGGAAAAGGCGTAAAAATGGGCGGCTACGCCCCTTTTCCCCTAGTTTTTAAATATTCAAAAACCTGTAGCTCGTTCACCGTTCCTCAGTTTTTCGTCAAACAACTTCTTTCTGTCTTAGAAAAATCAGTTCTACAACATATCAAAAAATTTTTTTCCTCCGGAGTCTGACTTTAAAAACCCTCAAGCTAAGGATATATTGAAACAATTGCTGTGCATTTTGCTTGTGTACTTGGGCAAAGCTTACCTAGTGTTTGTCTTTCTCTACCCACAAGTATAAATGTGCATACCTAGTAGTAGGAGTGTCACTGCACATTAAATTGCAGCACAACTATTGTAGGTATACTACTGAGGAAGTGAAGAAAGTTGTACTTTGTGCCAGTTTGCCAATCTATGGAGCCAATGTGGAAGAGGTTTGGCGCAGCGGAAACTGTTTGGTTCCCAACCTTGAGGTCGGGGTTTCAGCCCCTCCCTGTGCATTTCACTTTTGTCCTTGAGCAAGACAATTTATCTGCATTGCTTCTCTCCATCTAGGAGTATAAATTGGTACCGGGAGTGGGGAAAAATGGGCTGCATGCTACTGCGCCAATAAGGCAGCAACACTTACGTATAATGTGGTCACAATGACCAGGGAAATTTGTAACCTAAATGAATAGGCGCAATATAAATACCAAATAACAAATTATAAAAAACACATAAAATGACTAGGGGTAATAATAACAACATTACCAACCCCTTCAGAAAACTTGTGGTATAAATTCCCAAATTCAATTTTTTTTTTTTACCTATGGTTATGTTATACCTATGAATTGCCAAGGCGAATTAAAACTGTCTTTACGTATAGTATGCAGAACTGTGAGGTGGCAGTTCACAAAAATATTGTTTCAAGCTACATTAACTGGCGTCACCATACCAAGAATTGTTGCTTTAAGTTCACCTACTTTAAGGTATGTGAGATCTATAGCGTCTAGTCTTTAATTAAATTGTGCTCAGACGTCTTGCTGTAGATTTTATAAATAATATTATTTGCATCTCAATTTCTTACTCCAGGCTCTTTACAAACATGGACAATTTATAGGACGGTAAAGCCGATGGCAGAATAGCATTCTGGTAATTTAACTTTCATAGTGTGAATAGGTTAAACAAGGTACAGATTTACCTGTATTATTAAAGGAGATACAAGACTGAAGATGCAATGGATATTATTGCGACAAATGCCAACAAGGGCTGATTTATCCATGTGTAAAAAAAATTGTGTTGCAAAGTCCAAATGACTTAAAAGCTAGGCTCTTTTTCTGCAAAAAATTTGTTTGCCAAGATATATAGGCCTACAGTGTGATGGTTAAAAATGCTGGTTTTCAACTATTTAAATATCAGTTTGAAACTGGCTACTTGTTTAGTTACCTTGAGCAAGGCACATTAATTAACTGAATTGCTCCCCCAGGAGTTTATGGGTACCTGGTTATTTCTGGCTACTTCTCTAAAAATTGAGCACAGCTATAGAAACAAGTGTTCTTAAGCATGTTGACCACATAACTGAGGGTAATGTGCACTTTGAATGCAAGAAATATTCACATCTGTGCATAATGCAAAAGGTCCTGGTAGCCTTTTTTATTTCTTCTGTTTTCTAAACCAACAACATTAGTTGCAGGGTGGAAGTATATCTTATGGAGTAGAGTTGGGGATTGGCGTCTCATAGGATTTGAATACAGGATGCACTATTTCTATAATAATTTAGACCTGCTATTTTCACACAGTTAGTAACCAGTGGCGGATCCAGAATTTCAAAATAGAGGGAGCTCAGGGAAGAGACATTCACAGAATGAAGGTCTAGAGCCCCACCAAGGTTGGGGCTGAGGTGAAATTATGGCACTTCTTCGTGGCCAGATATGGCACTCTCATACTTAAAATTTGAATATAATTTTCTCTTTATCTCCACTTTTTTTTATTTTTTTTATAGATTTGACAAATTTAGGGTAAGGCCAGGGCCCCCTTGAATCCATCAATGGTGACAAATTAAGAGAGTGCCATAATTATATTACTAATTCTGAGTTTGGAAGGCAAGCATCCTCTAAGCTACAACTACAGTCTATGCAGTATTCTGTCAAAGTACAGACTTAATAAACATGTGGCTTTCAGTATAAGAGGAGCCCAAGAGATGTGTACACAAGCAGAAGAACACTGAAAAAAACCAGCAACCCAGGTGGGAAACGAGGTAATATGAGGAGACAAAAATTCACAGCAACTGACTATACATATTTCAGTCTGAGTATAGCAACCATCTTAATACATATTAAAACACTTAATGGAATTGAACATTACCAAGTCTGGTGTTTCTTGTTGTTTGCAATTTATAATGACAAAAAGAATTCGGCTACATGTCTACTACATGAATTTTTCATTATAATCCATTTAGGAAATGTATATTTTGAAAATCAAGGGCCTATCTATATAATAAATTAACTACTGTATATTCAATTAAAGATTTACATTTTGGTTTATTCATATTAGTAACATGGTATACTGAATACTTTGTATCTATTTGCTAGATTGTAATAGCATAAATGTTGTGTGTTCAAATATTTATGTTTCCATGGTGATATGTTGGGCATGATTCCGAACAATATACTTAATTTTTTGGGCATCATCTCATTACATAGTGTTGCTTATTAGTATAGTACATTATACAGTTATAACCTCACTTACTTGCATGAAAATCATGTCACAGAGAAAAGCAATATAATCATTTTCTACAATAAATATTTCATTATGAACCATTTGTACTTACAATATTTTCAGTAGCACCCTGGGGTATCCAATCAAAGGTAGTGTTTGTGGGTTTGTCACCATTTTCCACTGTGGCATCAACATTCGGGCTAGTCACTGAGGGTTGAGTTGCAATTGTAACCTTCTTTTGGTTGTATCGGGCGGCACGGTCATCGTCAAATAACCTTCCGATTTTGCGTACTGTTTCAAAGTTAGTAGGATCAGCTATTTTGTGATCTGCTGGGCCGCATTTGCAATTTCTACAAATCTTTCTGAAAGTACAAATTATTTCTATGATTTTCATTCAAGAAATGTTAATAAATAAGGGCCACAGAAAATCAAAGAGCAATGTAAAATTATCCTCTTTTAGAAATGGTATTATGCTTTGTATGAAAGGTCAAAAGTGGCAGTCATAATTTGAATGTGGGGCTTATTCAAGCAAGACAACCATTTGACCACATACAGTAATAGTATGATGATAAAGTAACATGAAATGTGGGGAAAGGGAAGTGAAAGAGTAGGAGAGAAACAGCGTAAGTGGAGAAAGAGAAAAAAGAAGTTGGAAAATGAAGAACATTGGAATATCAGTTATAAAGAACAAGAAGAGAAAGGAAAACAGAAACAGATTCAAAAAGAAAAGAGGGAGAAGGAAGAAAGGAAGAGTTGGAATGAAAGGAAGAAAAAAAACAGTTAAATGACTTGAAGAAGACAAGAAAACAAGAAGATGAAGATAAGATAAAAGAGGAATAGTTGGAAAGAAGTACAGGAACACCAAGTAACGTTGCCACAACCTACGGTATCATACTAAGGAGAATTTCATAATCTTAATTTTGTATTAAATATTTGAAAAATATTTTTTACACTGTACCTCCAAAAATGGAGATCAAGACCAGGGCAAGCATCCCCACATTTCACACAAGGTGCACCAGCTCCAATCTCATGGCCTAGAATAACCTGTAAAGATAACAAAACATGAACATTATTTACTCTCCTGTTTAATAACATTAATATTTGGTTGTACCACATGTACACAAGATAAGGTATCATGTCCCACTTAAAGTGAGAACAGAAACGTGGTAATTTCCCCAGAAACGTGATATATATCCCCCAGATACGTGATATTTCCCCCAGAAACATGTTGATAATCCACGTAGATGGCTTTTAGGACATAGTCATAGACTGTGGTGATGACAGGAAGAATGTGAGGGTGAGGAGAGAGAGCAGAGCACACTGTCAATGAAATGGGTCAGCAAGCATTTTATAGACTTGTCCACGGGCAGAATCATCAAAACATCACATAATTTACACATTTTGTAGGATTTCTTCTTTATACTGCAAATTTAATTTAAGTGGATTTCATAACAGCAATATGTTCAATGACAGATCTACAGTATTATAAAGCACATTCAGACGAGACAAGAGTGAGGTCAAAGAAAGGTTGAAGTAAAGCTTCAAGTAGCTTTTTGTAAGCATTAAGTCATCCTTGTGAAGACGCTTGTGTATTAAGCTAATACTTTAAAGCTTTTCATTACTGTATATTTACTCTTGAGAATTTTATGGGATGTGCCCAGGTATGGTGGGTATACCAACATGGTTGGTATATTTGTGATGTTGCACATAATAGCCTCATAGAGATTAATTAATATCTGAGACTATCAAAGTGTATTACTCTTAAACCTGACACCTTCAATGTACTTGCCCAGTTTACATCTTTATCAGGATATACAGTAATTGATTGGTTCACATTGCACATAGTCCAGTTAACTAGACTAGAGTAGATTTAAGTTCTATGTGAACTAGGCTATAGTTTATAAAGTTTCTCAGTGTTCATTTCATCCTGTAATTGGCAAATCACTCAATGACAATTATTATTCCTTTCTAAGCAATTAAAAGTGTCATAGTGTACATCTTCAACATTCTGAGCTCATGTTCATCCATCTGTTGTTTCTTTTCAATAGGTAACCATAAGTGGGTCAGTATCATAGCTTGTTTGGATAAGCGGCTGAATATTTATTCTACAGGGATAATCTAAATGAATAGCAATGCGAACACGAGTTTGTGTACAGTAGATTTTAATGATATCTTCCCACCATATGGTGGGTGCATAGTGTATACTTTAAATGATCTGAAATACCAGCACAAAACAATAGAGTTTCAAAAATGTTTACATAGTTGTATTACAATACACAATTGACTGAGAAAATATTTAAACTAAAAATAGTTGAAACTTTCACTTTGTTCTGACTACCTTTTAATAGATCCCATCAAGGGGTTTAGAGACCAACCAAACATTCAAAATAAGCAATAGTTAAATAACAAATAATAAAGAGACCTACATAAAGGTATCAAGCAAACATTGGCAATACAAATTGACCTATAAACCCAAAAAAGGTCAAAGGATTATGTTTGGCATTTAAAGAAGTAGTTTAAATACGAAAGCTTTTAGAAGTACTGATAAGGGACTTTCAACTGACAGTAATGCAATTAATAATATAATATATAAAATAATATACAAGTTGTCATTATCATTATTTTCATTAGAATTTAAGTAATGACTTTGCAGGCTCTCAGACTAAAGCCCTGTCCAGACTATCAAATTTTCTTTAACAAAAAAAACTGTTGTATGCCCATACATGGTCATGATGTGCCTATATATGGTCATGATGTGATGTCATCATGACTATATGTGATGTCATCATGACCATATTTAGGCATGTCACATGTTTTTGTCAAATAAAATTTGATAGTCTGGACAGAGCTTCAAACATAATATCCATCATAAAAAAATAACTCAAGTAGAATTATTTCTGAAGCAAACAACAACTGGTCAAGAAAAAAATATTAATGCTCTCATAATAATATGAATGGTAAGCAGACTGTCAACTTGTCTAGACATAGCTTTCTTAGCAGACCATATAAGTCTACTAGTTGGTGTCCAACATGTAACGACTTCTATACAACAGGCCAGGCTGATAGTACAGCAAGGGACCATTAGTTTAAAACATCTTGGATAGTCTCATCAGCCACTTTTCATTTGATAGAAATTTAAATTTTTTTAAAACACAATTTTATTATTATTATTATTCTTATTATAATTATTAATATTATTATTATTATTATTATTATTTCAGTTTGTACAATCCATAGGATTCATAATATTAAATATCATAATACACAATGGGTTAAAATATAAAAAAACAATATTATTAATATAATTTTAATTAATAATAATTATTAATATTATATTTTAAAAGAAAAAAAATGTATTTATAACCCCAGAAACTTAAGAAATTGAATGATACAATTATAACATCCTATTTTAGAATTGAGGTTTAAGCAGCAATTTATGGAATTCCAACCATAGTGTAATATCAAAATGTATCATTATCAAATACCTCAGGGAATTACACTTTAAGATCAAAAATTATATATAACAGTGGATAGCAAAGGTAAATTACTGAACCTGGATATTATTTACATTGGCAAAGCCTCAATTGAAATGTCTGCCAAGTTTGTAGGTGACCGCAAATACCTAATATAACAGGAAAATATTGTTATGGCACAGATTGCAGTTTAGAAGACACAGTATGATTAATTGGTTACATTAGTATTTATCTAACTCTGTTCAGAAAATAAAAAGGTTTGAAAACATGGCTCTGGGATGAATACTCTACTGTCTACCACATATTAATCTTACTGTAGGAGCTTGTTTAAAATAACTTTTTTCTCTCTCTGTCTAATTTTGCAATACTGATAGGAAGTCGTTCATCGTGGTTTACTGGAGTGTGTACAATTTGATCAATTATTAAGTCATGCTTGATTGGAGTAACATAACTCATTGCTCTATATCAATTGACGGTTATTCTCAGCCTATGGCTAGTTAGTAATGTATTAGTAGACAGTCATGGCTAAGCCAGCCAAAAAACAGAACACACCCTACAACCATGGAACTAGCTATGTATACCATTGAGAAAATGGTAAAGAATTTCCTCCATGAATATAGTAATGCTAGGCCTAAGTAATAAATAAACACGCTTGATGGCTGGTACTGTATCCATGCAAAATTGAGATAGACCTAGGAATACAAATGATCATACCCATTTTTAAAGCAATCAGCCCCACAAGATAGCACCACGTCTATTGGACCCACTGAGGGATCAATAGTGAAATGGGATATTGACCATTCATAGGTCTGATTCCATGTGGATCCAATCATCCATTGAGTCCAATCGTCACACAGAATGCAATAATTATTGTAATGCAGCAAGTCTCATCTGTCCACAACAGGGGCTGTATGAACTAACTCTTCTCAAAAGATACTAGGTGCATATGAGCCAATTGTATGTACACTGGGACTACGGTTCATAGGCCTTATCTGAGAAGAGTTCTTCACAAACTAGACCCAAATGAGCCTGCCCCTAGAACCAGCGCCGATATTAGTTGCTGTAGGTTGAGGCGCCCCTGTAGTTACAGTAAAAGCTCAACCATTCAACTTGCTCAATGAATGATTTAATTATAAAATTGTCGTTGGAATTTTAACAAAAAATAGCTTGCTTTAAATAGCGTACCACTTTTGAGCATCTCGATGTCGAGGTGACATCACTTATAAATGCTTTCACTTTATCCCTAAACATGATGGGACGACTTGGGCGTGGTCCATCTACCGGGGAACGATGGACCACTGTGTCACAGAAATGCTGACAGCACTGTCCCTGAACATGAACTGGAGTCAAACTTACCATACTGTAAGGTGAGACTTTTTGTTATACCTTGTTTTGTGAACTTATTTTTTTAAAGATTGTCAGAGAAGGGTGGAGAAAACAAAAATAAAATTTTGTTTTCTTATTATTATTAGAAAATAATTTTGCCAAAAACATCAAGACGAAGGAGAAAATATAAATAAAATGTTATTGAAGAATGTAAACAGTGTAGAAATGGGAGGGTTAAATACTTTAAATTTATATTATTACTTAATGGGAGAAATATACAGTAGGACCTTGATTTTTTGTATGTTATGGGACCGGAGGGTGTACATAAGTCGGGGATTCGTATAATTGAGGTTAGGTTAAATTTGTGGTCACCTTTGACCTAATACATACGTAACACTCAATAAACATATGTTATGAACGAACAAACGATGTTGCCTAGGCTAGACCTAGCCTCTAGGCCTACGAATAAAACCATGTCATGTGTTTTTATTCATCACTTCACGATGTCATAATAAAACCATGTGTCTGTGTATTAATTTATCACTTTATATCTTTTATTTAACTAAAGAACATGAAAATATTTTAAAGATTTCTAAAATTTTTGACGTGGGCGGGAGTGATATCTAATAAATTTTTCTATTTGCCATTATAATAATATATTTTGGGCGGAGAATATATTCCCCTTCTGGATGAACACCTAGGCCTACTGAAGCTCAGGCTAGTAATAGTAGTGCTCTATTTTTCTGTTTCTGACGGATTATTCCTCTCTGCCTTAATCCCCAATTGGGCCTACCCTAATTTAGGTTTTACAAGCAATTGTAAGAATAGGCCTATGGCCTAGCTAGCCTAGCCTAGGCCTAGTGATCATTCATTATATATATATAGCATGCCACCTTTATTGTACAATACAAAACATGTGTTTACTTTTCGACAATGTTAAACTTACATCTTTTTTTGTTGTATTTATAGCACGAATAGAATCATAAGCCTCATCTTCAGTTCCCTGATACACATCCTTATTATCCATGTGTATAGTCACTTTAGCCATGTCTGCAGTGCAGTGATCTCTGAATTTGACCAAGCAAGTTAATTGTCACTCTCTCCGCGAGCCAACCACCACCAGAGCCGACATGCAATCACACCCAAACCAAACTGGTTTATCAACTTTTGGTTTATCAACTTCGTGACTTACAGAGCTGATCAATATTAATATCACCTTTCTAAGATCCGAATATATTTTGTTTACTAGCAGAACTCATTCAAACGAAAGAATAACAGCATGTGAAGTGAAAAGTCCTAAGTACTATCTACGACCTTTCGTCTTATTTTCAGCCACAGTTCTCCCGTCTTCCGATCCTTTTGACGGTAGCAGCAAGCCGATGGCAGCAGATATCCGTCGCTAGGTTGGGTGGATGCTATTTTCCATTTCAAGTTTCGTGGTTTTGTAAACTGGGCTCGTGTAATGTTTACAGATAGAGGGCGCTAATACTTTCCCAGCAAATTTACTAGCTTTGGTTTACGCGACCACGACTCACTATTTCATATTGCGGAACACCTTTGCTGGCAGAAATACTCATTAAACCAGTATCATTACATAAAGACATCTAACAAACAAATAAAAATTGTATAATATAAATATTGATAGGGACGAGAGAAGACAGCGATTAGTGCGAAAAGTCAGGTGTCACTAATATATTTTGGTTAATATCTAGGCCTATTTGCTAGATCATGAGGAAGAACAATCGAAGTCAGGGAAGAAAAGAATATGAGCCTCTCTCAGTTAAGATATACCAAAATATAATAAATAAATTGCTAAAACAATCTCACCCCTCTTCCTAAACAGCCATTCACCCCCCCCCCCCAAAAAAAAGTTTCTATCCCGATTCCATGAAAGCCTTGCAGTTCAATGCTCTATCACAGTTCAGTCCTTATAGAAGAGAATTGCATGTTATTTATGTCTATTTAATATATAGACCTACAATTTTATTATGTATTATAAATAGGCCTACATCATGTTTAGGCGTATTGTGTATTTCCCATCATGTAACTTGCAAAATGTTTGTTTGGATTGAGATGAAAAAAATAAACCCAACCACAATAATGCTCTGCCCATTGGTTCCGGGGAAACAACTACTGTTGATATCACCACAATAGGGAATAAATAAGACTAACTGTAGTCTAGTACAAAACACTGGCCTATGAAATGAGTAACAGTAGGCCCTATGTATTTACGTTTTTGTTGCTATAATTTATCAGTAGACCTATTTTAAATTCCCTTATTAATCAAATAAGTAATGCATATGACAAAAACGGAGAGCTGCTAAACACGTGACATCGAAATAAAACAAGGTGCAGCAGAAAGTACCACATTGTTTGAAATCAGGGAGTTGTTAAATACAGTATAGTTAAAAGAAAACTTCTACTGTATCTGCGACAGTCCTACAACGTCAGTACAGTACAGTAATACTTTTCAGACAATAGAGGGGGTATGATATTTTTATCACTCCTCAGGATGCACGTTTTGGTATTAAAACTTTATACTGTAGGCCCATGCGTAGTCTATCATCGTTTGAAACAAATTGTACATTGTTGTGTTATGATAGGTCCATATCGTGTTGCCTTGAATAAATTTCAGTGCTAAATTGGCACAATTAGATTTTAATTAAGTTCTTCAACATTTTATAAGGTATTTTATGTTAGCGGTTCAGAGTTCATTTTGTGTGTCCAAAAATCCGGCCGGAATGACGTGTTTACTAGGGAGGGGTGGGCGTACAAATCTTCCTCATCCCCGCGCACCCGATCCACCACCACAATCTAGCCATTTATCATCTGAGAACCAAATCAATTGCGTTGTTGTACGTTAATATGTCTTTGATCGATTTGACGAAACTGACACGACCATAGGTTGTTAATCGATCAGCGCCACGTTTACCATGCATATTGCAATAATGATAATGTCCCTTGCGACACACGTTTTGAGAGATTTATCTCTTAGGTAGGGCTTAAGTAGTCTAGTGAATATCTTACTGTAAGTCTAGGCATTTATTATTTGAATGGGATTATTCTATATAAAAAAATATATATTAAATTGTTCATTGTATTTCGTTGTTTAATTGTTTAATCTCAACATGCTCGAAAGGTTTACACAGAAACACAGAAACCTCAGGAACCTGCCATTACTATGGTATATAAATAAATAAATATATATATATATACATATACATTATATATATGTATACATTTTGAATACTATAGTACAATGAATCACAGGGAAACATTATTTTGTGCATTTAAATATCCCATTACCTAACACCTTAAAACAGGGTAGTAATCACTCTGCTGAATTAAGGTTACAATCATGCCCGACACATTAAAAGCCTGTTAGGCTATTTTGATTTCCTGGTTTACTTCACCATACACCAAAAGACCAAATGAAATAAAAGCTTCATATATCCACGGATGCCGTGGAAATCTGTAATTCAACGAATCTCATACCTGTCGAAGCTCTTTCGCTACATCTATTTCATCTGCCATCGTTCTCTTTGGACCAGATTCAATCGCAATCGGCGTGTGGAATGGGTGGACGTCCAAAGGTGCTAGGTCTTACTGATTATTATTGTCATTACACTATTACAGTAGCACCGGAAAACGAACTTTGGAGTTTGGTGGCCTTGTATATTATTGTATGTACAGTAATTCCTTTTCTTTTACACCTACGCCTTTCGTATCGGATCTACTCAACGATGTTTGTCTATTGATCGGTGGTTGTTGCTATGCTCCAGCGAATTTCAAGTTATTTGATAATGCCATTACTCGGGTCTGCAGTACATTATGTGTACCGATCGATCTTTAAGGGGTATAACGGTGTCTTGAAACCGAGGGGGGAATCAAGGGGCCCTATCACCTTGTCTTTGGATTGACACAGAACTGTCTCCTGGCACTGTAAATGGACATAGTCTACAATCGTTTCACTACCTCAGCTTCATTTAAATCGGTAGTCTGATGATTATTGCAACAGGGACAGGTGCAGGAGGGGACCGGAGGGTCCATCCTTACTGTCAACAATTGCAAATGTTCTAAAGCATATTTCTGGACGGTCTCTGTCCACTGTTCGATGATGTCATAACTAGGGGCGGATCCAGATATGTCCAAAAGGGGGACCGAAGGGACAGATAATGGGGCTGATCTAGACAACACTGCGCTAGGGGGTCCGGGGGAATGCCCATGCGAATTGTTTTGTTTTCTAGACGCCCGAAAATAACCTCTGAGGCGTTTTGGTCGATCAATTTTTTTCTTTTTCTTCCTTTCTCTCTTTTCTCCCCTTTTTTGTAACTTTCCAAAATGGGAGGAAGAGGGGCCAGCCCGACCCCCTAAATAACTTTTATTGTTAGGGGCCCGGCCCTTGGTTTTCTCGTCTAGACGTTATCATTACACGTACAGACAGAAACCACACTGGCGTTTACTTCCGGTAATACAACGAGTTATCTATGTAAAGGGATTCTAAAACTTTAGATGGGCTCTTTAATTCGATCTCTTCCGAGAAAAATAGACAACTATAATTGTCTCTCAGTTTGTAGTAAACGCCAAGCGAGTAATCAGAACACAATGATGACTAGACATATCGATTAGGCTTGTTATTAAGTTCAATATTTTAATGTGAAATACTATACTTAGGAAATGTGTGGGCTTTTGGTAGAATCTGTGGTTAGCTACATAGAAAAATATCCTCTTTCAAACTACAATGGCAAACACGTTAAAAAAACAAATGCCAGGAAAACAGCAACAACTGTACAGTAACACTGTATCTTATTCATTTTGTATAGTCCTTGATTATATTTATACGAGTAGGCTACGTGTTCTACCAAGTATTGTATATTATGAAAACAAATTTAATACCATGTGACGAACCATTAACACATATGGCTTGACATCATATATAACACCTACAATGAAGACAACTTAGATTTAAAAAAAAAACCACTCTCTTCGACTACATATGATGTTATAATCAAATATTAGCACATAATATAGTCAAATATTAGCACACGACTCAACATCATCTGTCATCCACACTTCTAAAATGGACGTTTTGAAAGATTAAATTAAAACCTATCTAATGAGAACGAAAGGTGCTGGCCTGAGTCAAGCAGGCCTATGGATTTTTGTGATTATGTGAAATCAAAACGGCTTTACAGGGGGAAACTGACAGACCATAGAGTATAGGCCTACAGTCGTCCTAATGGGATATAAAATCGGAAACAATTACAGTAATAGATTAGTGGAATTATACCCAATTCACGTGGCAGTCGCGCGATCCTACGCCGCGAACGTAGGCTATAGCCAGAAACTTCGGTAGATCCGTGTTCGGCATGAACGCTTCAGTCTAGTATCCATAAAATTACTACGCAGCGTGACGATGGTAGTAAAAACACTAAAGAGACAGTGTAGCGATTTTATGGAATGCAGGCTCTAGTTAAAATAAACTGGAAACTGTATACAGCAAATTCATACATTAAACAATTATTATTCAGTGCTTTTGTGTCTCCACAAAGTCCTCGTCTACTGTATTTGAGCATGATTTAAGTGAGTCACCTTCAAAAATATATGGGGGCCTTCTGACCAGCTGAAACGGAAGTAAACAAGAGCTTTGAAATGTTGCCTGAATTGACCTTAAAACATTTACCTGTGGCTCAATTACCGGTGCAGTATATACCAAGGACAATATGAAGGACATTACGTGCTTTATCTCGATTTTAGTCATTTAATTGTATTTTATTGTGTGTTGCTGGGTCCTGGATCATAACAATCCTTTTCACTGATCTGGATACCCGTAAGAAGAAATTTTTAAAAAGTGCTGGAATACACAATGCATCAATATAAAACGCAGAAGTATAATGTATTCTCTTGACCCCAGCTTGTGACGCATAGCCCTACATGATTCAAACGACTATCTCTAGTTCACGCTATCATTGTAAGGACCTATGTGACACATTTTGATGTGATTTCTCCTTACCGCCTGGTGTGATATAGAAACCACAGCTATTTGTCAGAGAATTTTATAGTTTGTGAAGAACACCGTATGATAATAGCTTTCCTTATTAAATTCTCCTTTGTGTTGAACGTTGAATTCAACCAAATTAATGTCAGTTTTTACATTTAATTATCTCTATACATCTGTTCTCTGTGAAAGTGAAAACGACATGCAGAATCGTCAGCGTACGAAGTATGCTTTCGGCAAATCGATATATTTCTTATGCAACCGAAAAATTCATATAGCCAATTGAAAATAAAAATTGTTTCTCATCTGCAATATTTATGTTCACAAGTAGTGATTTAAATATCTTGCGCTAACATTTGGCCATTCTAGAACGTCAATCAACCTTAAGTGAACAATGGGAACAGGGTCA